TTGGTTTTTCTCCGGTACCGGGAACCGAACTCACGACCTTGCGCTTGCCAGGCAGGCGCTTTTGCCGCTGAGCTAAATCCCCAGCCCCTTTTTTCTTTTCTTTTCCCTCTTTCTTTTCTCCTTTCCCCCATCTGAGTTGTTCTTTCCTTTTGGGTAGTTTCTTTCCCTTTCACAATATCTATTGTACACTTTGGATCTTATTTACTTTCTCAATTTCTTATACTTGGGAGATATACAGTGTTTATACATGTGAGTCTGATTTATTTCATTTATGAGTGTGGTCTCTAGTTGCATCCATTTACCTATAAAACCCTCGAGTTTATCCTTCTTTATAGCTGAGTAGTACTCCACTGTATAAAAGTACCACATCTTTTTTATGCATTCTTCAGTTGATGGGTATTTGGGTTGTTTCCAAGATTTAGAAATCTATTACAAACTGTGCCACAATATCTTTATGCACACATATCTTTATGTTACACATATGTGCGCACATATCTTTATGTTACGATTTTTTTTAATTCTTCTGGGAAAATACCCAGAAGGGAAATAGCAAGGTTGAATGGGACCTCTAATCCCAGTTTTTTGAGGAATCTCCACACTGATTTCCACAGTGGTTGCACCAGTCTACATTCCCACCAACAGTGGAGAAGGGTTCCTTTTTCCCCACAGCCCCACCAGTATTTGTTATTGGTTGATTTCTTGATGGTAGCCATTCTTTCTGGGATGAGATGGAATCTCAGTGTTATTTTAACTTGCATTTCTCGAATGACTAATGATGTTGAACATTTTTTCATATATTTGTTTGCCATAGCTTTTGGGAATTGTTGTTCCAGGTAAAATGGCAGCAGGATCATAAGAATTAGGAATAATCAGTAATATATAAGATGAAAGTAAATGCTGGGTAATTTGATCTTTAAGATCTCTTCAGGTAAAAGCAGGGACATAATAAAAGGAGAAAAACAGAATATGATTGTGAGCTGGGCTCATGTATGCCTGTAATCCTGTAATCCTGATACTGAGGTAGAAGAATTACAGGTTCAAAGCCAGCCTCTGGGAACTCACCAAGATCTTGTCTCAAAATAAAATTAAAAACACCTAGGGAATGTAGTTCAGTGTTTCTTGGGTTCAATCTCTTATACAGCAAAATTTTTTTAAATTATCTTTTTTTTGTGTGTATATAAATAAATAAACCAGTCACTCTCTTAACAACTGCAATAGAAAAAAAACCAGTAAACCTAGCATCAGTGAGTGGTTTTGTTGTTAGGTTTGGATTTATTTTACATTTCTAACAGAATATATGTTTCTGGATCTTGCCATTCATTTACAAACGAGAATTTAGATTGTCCCTGCAGGACTATGAGAAATGCTGATTAAGAAGTTTCTTTGCTTTGGATGAAAGAAACAGGTAGACTAATGGCTGTTCCTATCACAGTGATCTAGAGTCAAAAGTGTCAGTTACTAACTTGAGCTGCCTAAGTCCATTGGGGCAAACCTACGGTATGTGTGCCACAGTTGTTTGTATCGTTAAAGCTCTAAAAAATTTACCATCACTGGCCTAGGTGTTTCCACTTAACATCTTTGTCTGCTTATACTTTCTTGTTCTCTGTATAAAAAAAAAAACACTTTTTTTAAGACACTGAATCTCCTTCATCCTTGAAATTGTTAGCCTTCCCATCTCATTTGTGCCCTTTTTGGTGATTTTATTTTACTTTTTTCTCTCCACTTTAAGGTCATTTTGTTATCTGGCAATGCTACTTGTGTCAGTTTCTACTTTTTGCCACAAGTTTGCATTTTTGTCTTTTTCTTTCAAAGTACAAGAAATTAGAAAATTTCCTCTTGGGATTTTTTTAATACTGGATGATTTGCTCCTGAACTAAAGAGTCAGCTCAAGTATTTGAGTATTTGTGGAGACTTTCCATTCTGTCACATTCTAGAAAAAGGATTAACAACATGCATTTCATTAATTTCTATTCTAGAAGTGTGGAAGGCTGATGACCAGATGGAAAGGGAGCACAGAAATCCAGATGAACAGGCAAGGCAGTTTATGAGCCTCAAGAACCAAACTGCACTTGAGGAAAGAGGTAACCTCTTTGGAAGAACGTTTACTTTGAACACAGACTTTGTTTCTTTAAGACAAGTGCCCTATAAATATGATTTATATGAAAAAACTTTGAAATATAATTCAGACTTACTTCATAATAATAGAAGCTATTCAAGAAGAAAAGGTGATGAGTGCATTGGATTTGGAAAACCACTCCTGTATCTGAAGCAAGAGAAAACCCATCCTGGAGCAGAATATTCTGAATACAGTAAAAGTGTGAAAGCCCTTGGCCATAAAGAAGTCATTTTTAAACATCAGAAAATTAAGAACTTAGTTCAACCATTTATTTGTAATTACTGTGACAAGGCCTTCCCCTTTAAGTCACTCCTCATTAGTCATAAGAGAATACACACTGGAGAAAAACCCTACGAATGTAATGTATGTAAGAAAACTTTCTCCCATAAGGCAAACCTCATCAAACATCAGAGAATTCACACTGGGGAGAAACCCTTTGAATGTCCTGAGTGTGGAAAAGCTTTCACCCATCAGTCAAACCTTATTGTACACCAGAGAGCACATATGGAGAAGAAGCCCTATGAGTGCAGTGACTGTGGAAAGACATTTGCTCAGAAGTTTGAACTCACTACACACCAGAGAATTCATACCGGAGAGCGACCCTATGAGTGTAATGAGTGTGCAAAAACCTTCTTTAAGAAATCAAACCTCATTATACATCAGAAAATTCACACAGGGGAGAAACGCTATGAGTGTAGTGAATGTGGAAAATCTTTTATCCAGAACTCACAACTCATCATACATATGAGAACTCATACAGGAGAGAAACCCTATGAATGTACTGAATGTGGCAAAACTTTCAGCCAGAGGTCAACACTTAGATTACATTTGAGAATCCATACTGGAGAGAAACCATATGAGTGTACTGAATGTGGAAAGGCCTTCAGCAGGAAGTCCCGACTCAGTGTCCATCAGAGAGTTCACATAGGGGATAGACCCTGAGACTACTCTGAGGTGCTATTGTAAAAACTCCTCAGAATCCCTCCAGTGAAGAAAAACAGGTGTTGGAATTCATAGTAGGATATAATCTCTCAAGTGAAAAATATGTAAAAAAAAAAAAAATAGCATTGCATATAGAACATTATACTGGAAGATAGATATGATATCCAGCTAAAGTATACACATCAGAATATATCAAATTGTAAATAGATGTACCCAGCTATATTACAGTGAGCTTCGTTTTGTTTTTGTAGCATTGGGGGTGGAACCCAGTCTATTGCCTATACTGGGCAAGTGCTCTTTCACTGAGCTACAACACCAACTCACGATGAGCTTTTAAAAATCTTGAAAGAACTCAATATTCTGGGCAGCAGCATAAAGCATATACAGATAATACCCTAGGAATTTATATGTGAGAGTATGTCACAAAACACAAATTATGTTTTAAATCATATGTGAATTTAGTAGTCATTGGGAGTTTGAAATTCTTGTCCTCTGTGATAATTAGGATATAACAAACAAGATTTTCCATACTACGGTAAACATCATGTTTGTTTCAGTACCTTTCCAACCCAGTATGGATTCAAAATGAAATATGTAACATTTTAAAGCGGCATGGAGCTGATTTTTTTTTTTCTCCTACTGCTTGCTGGCATATATAAGTTGGTGTGACCATTGTTACTGAGCCTTTTTGCTAAAGAGAAAACAATATTGTTTGAATCTTAACCCGATCCTTGGTTTCAAGATTTTTCTAGAAACATTATTTATATACATATGCAAGTGTTAGATAACTAAGAGATCAGTGAAAAGAGGCAGATGCAACTGTGTTACTCAGTATGTACTGCAGAATAGAAATATGCCATGCAAAGAGGATATCATCCATTATGCTCTTATTTTCCATGGAGTATTAACATACAAATGCATGTGTATTTCCAAAAGATTGTGTAACTCAGAAGCTACTTGTATTTTTGTGCGCGTCCCTATCCTTTTAAGACTTTATGAATTGTCTTGCAAAAAGTCATATGATGCTTATGTACCTCACAAATGCTAGTTACATTTCAGAGACCTTAGAGGAAAAAATAATTTATTTTAAGAAAGGTATAAAGAATCCTGTTTTGCTTTTCAAAGTTTCTATAAGCATAATCCACTTTCAAGATGAATTTTTGTAGTATTCTGTTTAAAGGAAGGATCTTTACTTCCTTGAGTCTCATCTTCATCAACCTAAAATCTTCCCTTTGTGACCTAACTTAGCATAAATTAATTACCTTTCCTTTCAGTGTTCACACTTTGTAAATTAACACTTTCCTTTCAGTGTTCACACTGTTTTCAGTGGTCTCTTCATATGCTATATGATGATTATCATTACAGTTATTTTTTTTGCATAACTGCAATGTACCATTTTAGCTTTTCAAATGCACAAGTTTAGCCTTTCCCTCTTAATCACAAATCATGCAATGGAATTATAAATGGAAAGCAGAACTGGTTTTTATTATTTTCGAAGATCTCTGATATACTGTGACTCAATATGATTGTGAATGACTTTCTGGAAAAATATACCAGGACATCCATAGCCCAGCAAATCTTTGTCTTTCTAAGTTAGTATCTCACCTACTAATGACAAGGAAGCAGGGGGAAACAGTTATTTTCAACACTGCTGTTGGAAGTGTAAATTGTAACAGCCTCTTTGGAAAACATTGTGAGTCTGTCTTTTAACATTAAATATATATATACTCTTTAGGCTGGGAATCTAACTCCTGGGAATCTACTTCTAAGAAAAACATAAAGTGCCAGTACTTAAGATTTTATGATTATCTATGTATACTGTATTTTTTTGGTGAGGACCAAAAAAGGGGAAAAAAAAGATGACCATCAGTAAGGGAATGATTGAACAAATTGTGGTAAAAATATACCATGGCTGAATGGTTTTCCATAAAGGAACATGTAGACACAAAAAAATGAATATATCAATTTTTATAAAATAAAGATCTTGAACCTTTGTGTGTGTGTATAGGATTTTATGGGCCCGGAAAATAGAATTCCTCCCATCATACACTCTGGAACTAACTCATCAGCTGTATAAGTGAAGGTTCCAGGAGGAAACTAAACTAACCCATAATCTTTGTGAAAGAAGAGATGACAAAATGGTTAAGGGAACAAAGGATGGTAAGGCATCCAGAGACAAGCAGCATCAAGAAACTGTTAACTCTCTGGGAACAAAGGGAGGAAGCAATGTTTCAGGAACCCCAAGAGAGTCAGAATCTTGAAAGAGGATCTGCTAAGTGATGGTATAGTTCTTGGGCAACACAGCTTCTGTGGGAGAAACAACTGCAACAGGGAGGTAAATGGGAGAGAAAAGCCTCACCTTTCTGCTGTTATCAGTCTTCTGCAGGTGTTTCTGTTGACTGAACCCCACCACGAGTGGAGACAGTGTAGTACTCCTGGGATAAAAGGACAAAAAGACTGTGGAGTAGATCCAGAAGGCATGCAGCACAGTCAACAAATCATCACAACTTCTCAACCTTGCCATCTAGCTGCAATGAGGGTTTCCCTAACAAGACATCTACATGATGCTTGCTATTGCTCTTGTGTTTCTTATGTATTTGGGGTTAGGGTGGTTCCACAAGACTCAATTTCAGAATGTAATTTTGGAGTCTTGCACAGATAGTAATTTAAGCCATGAAACTTGATGATGAAATTACCTAGAAAAAATGTATAGTAAAACATTGGTTTGTGAGCATAGTTTGTTCCAGAAACATGTTTGTAATCCAAAGCACTTGTATGTCAAAGCAAATTTCCTCATAAAAATACTAGAAACTCAGATGATTTGTTCCATAATCCAAATGCATTTATATAACAATGATTTCAATACTGTAATATAATACAAAATATAAAGAATAATAAATTAACTTGCACTTACCTTTGAAAACCTTTGTGACGCTGGGCATGGTGGCACACGCCTATAATCCCAGCACTCGGGATGCTGAGGCAAGAGGATCATTGAGAGTTTAAGACCAGTCTGGGCTACAAAGCAAGCTCAAGACCAGCCTGATCTGCATAGTGTGACCCTGTCTCAAAAAAGACAGAAAAAAAAAAAAGTTGGTGGCTGGTGTGAGGGAGACAAGAGAGGAGGGTTATTGTGTAGGACAACTTGCACTATCATTAACAGAATCATTACTGTTGGCTCAATGCAATCTTTTTTGTGCAACTTTAACAAGGAACCTATCCAATGACACTGGCTTTTGCCTCCTTTTGAGGATTTTGTGGAAATGTGACATTTCATTGTCATTAAACAGATTCATTGCTTGCACTGCTACAACCTTATTCAGGTGATGCTTTTCTACAAAATTTTGCACTGTTTTTCACATCTCCCTAATCTCATTTGAAGTGAGGGATCTTCTAGCTTTTTCTCCTTTTCTGCAGACAAGATGTTCTCTATAACCTCTTGCTTTTGGGAGGTGATCACCCACAATCCTGCAGCAAAAGACAGAAGAACCATTGCCTTACTTGTCATCATGTGACATTTGGTGTCACATACTGCTCATATTGCAAAATATCACATCATTGTAGAATTTGTTAGAAATTTCTGCTCATCTTACAGAACACTTGGAGAACAAGTTACTCACAATCCAGGGTTTCACTGTGCAGAGACTTTCAAACATTCACCTGAGTATTTAGGAGGACTGGGAAGGAACCAGCAAAGGAAACTGAGAGGAACAACCAGGAGAGGGTAGTTCTGGAAGCCAAGTGAAAAGGGTATGTGCACCTAGACATAGTTATTACATTATCTTAATACTGACATTTTGGTGTGTGCTGAGAGTGACCATTAGTGAGGTCACTTTGATAAAAATAGCTTCAAAGAAATGGTCTGAGAAAGTCTAGGAGAATTCAAGATCAAATTGCAAATAGTGTAGATAGGAAGCAAAGTATTAAGACTGAAGGATCTGAGATTCTGTTCTTACAAGCTAACAAGTTAATCTGCCACACTTTCATGGATCAGTCTGAAGACACATTTTATTACCCTTAACAAATGCTTGTGGTAGCTATTACTCAGCTATAGCTCAGGTATCATTTTTTTGGGTGCCAGTTCCCACAGGATAATATGATAGGGGCCAGTTGATACCAACATATGCAATGGGTTCTTTTACAGGAGAAGAACTTCCGGTTTAGGGAACCCGAATCTTACAATGGGCTGTAATCAGACATGTACAACTTTGGCCCAAAGGAGAGACATCTTTATTATTCTGGATGCAAATCAAGCCTACTGTGTCCTCTGGAGAGAAACCTATCTTCTGGGACTGTTTATTACTCACACATCCTGAAAACATAGCTTGTAACAAAGGCCATCAGTACCTATACTTTTAAGACAGGCAGATAAATACATAGTAAACCCATGGATATATATCTCTTTTCCTAAATTGGAAGTTTTCTGTTATTTCTTTAATATTTGTAACTCATTATCTCTCTTCTTTTGTGTTAACCTCATGACTCAAATTTTGTTCTTTTGATGATCTCCCATAAATCTTGTAAGCTTTCTTTCATTTTCACTGTTCTGACTTTATATTTTAAAACAACCTGCCTTTGAGTTTATATTCTCTCTGATTTTGCTGTTAATGCTATTCCATTTCACCTCCATGTTTACTTTTTCTTTAAAAAAAAAAATTTTAATCTGTTAAACTTCTGTTGTTGGCCATGTCTTGGTTGCTTTTCTCTTGTTGCTGAGACAAAATATCCAACGCCCAAAATTAAGGAAGGAAAGGTTTATTTAGCATATAGTTTATGGAGGTTTCAGTGTGTAATCAACTGGCTCCAAGGCAGGGAGGCAGGCCACAGAGGCAACACTTCAAGGCAGTGCAAGACAACAAAAGCATCAAGAGCAAAAAGGGCGGGGGAGCAAGCCTCTTTTCCCTCCTTATATTGTATCTCTGCTATCTGCCCACACCCACACCATCTCCAGGCCATCCTCTTGCATGGGCTCAGGATGTAGAACTATTGAGTTACTTAGCCAAGCCTCTAGACTCCTCAAGTTGACACAATGTATCAACCATAACAGGTAATTCACTTTTCTCCTACCACATCTGGGTCTTCAGCCTGCATTTTTTCAGCTATACATCCGTTTCTGTTAGGACACAGTTCTCCATGGGTTTATTGACAGAAAAAGGTGGTAGCTAGTATAAAATAGCTATTAGATACAGAAGACTAAAACTAGTGGATAAAGGTAAATGCATATTTAAATTTAGAATACTCTAAATAGATGTCAGTTATGACCTAAAAAAATGGAGAGCCAAGCATGGTGGTACACACCTGTAATCCCAGCAGTGTGGTAGCTTGAGGCAGGATCACAGTAACAACCTGTATCAATCAATCAGTCAAGTGAGGATTATAGTTTAAGTGCCAAGGCCCTTGGTTTAGTCCCTAGTATAGAAGAAGAAGGAAAACAAAACAACCCTGTACAAAATGTGGGGATGAGTAGAGTCAGTGTAGTTTTCACATATGATCAAAGTTAAATAATCAGTTTAAGATAGATTATATCTAAAAGGTATTTTAGTTTCCTGGTAAGCAAAAAGAAAAAACTTACCATAGATAAACAAGATAAAAAAGGAATCAAAGTATACCATTAAAGAAAATCACCTACTTATTAAGGAAGGCTGCAAAAGAAAGAAACTGCAAAACCAGAAAAACAATTAACAAAATAGTAATAGTCTTTACCTATCAATAATTACCTTGAATGTAAATAAATTTCCCAGTCAAAAGAATAACAGCATAGTAATGTGCACCTGTAATGCCAGCTACACAGGAACCTGAGGCAGGAAGATTGTAAGTTCAAGACCAGCCTGGGGGGGCTGGGGACTTAGCTCAGCGGCAAAAGCACCTGCCTGGCAAGTGCAAGGTCGTGAGTTCGGTTCCCGGTACCGGAGAAAAACAAAACAAAACAAAACAAACAAACAAACAAACAAACAAAAAAAAAGACCAGCCTGGATACCTTACAGAGAGACCTGTCACAAAATAAAATTTTACAAAGGGCTGAGGATGTAGCTCTGGTAGAGTGCCTGACTAGCATGTGTGACGCACTGGGCTCAATTCCTGGCACAACAAATGAACAAAACAAGGAACATCTGAGTGCTTACAGAAACAAAAAGACCCAATGAAATGTTCCCTACAAGAGACTTACTTAAGCTTTAAGGGTACTCAGACTCAGAGTGGAAGGATGGAAAAAGATATTCCATGTAAATAGAAATAAAGAGGAAAAGTAGCTATCTTAAAGTAGACATAAAGTAAAAAACTGAAACAATGCCAGTGTGGTGGAGCATGACTGCAATCTCAGGTACTGAGGAGGCTGAGGAGGAGGATCACAAGTTCAAGCCTGGTCTTGATGGCTTGTCTCAAAGTAGAAAAGGCTCAGTGTGTACACTCAGTAGTAGTGTGCTTGTAGCACAAGGCACTGGGGTAGATGCCTAGCAACACCCACACACACACGCACACACACACATGCACACACACACCTAAAAAGTCGTGTGATGATAAACATTCAGTTCATCAAGAGGATATGACCGTGGTAAATATGAACCTCCTTTAGGAGTCTGGTGATGTAGCTGAGTGGTAGAGCACCATTGAGTTCTCTCCCTAGTACCTAGGGGAAAATACTGTATACATGGACATGTCAGAGCACCTAAATATATAAAACAAATATTACTAGGCCTGAAGGAAAAGATTATAATAACAAAAGGAGACTTCGGTATCTTACTGTCAGCAGTGGACAGAACATCAACACAGAAATCCATAGACTCTGGACTTACACTTTAGACCAAATGGACCTTACAGACGTATATGGAATATTCCATCCAATGACAGCAGAGTACACATTCTCAAGTGCACACAGAACATTCTGTATTAGGCTACAAAACAAGTCTTGAATTTTTGAATATTAAAATCATATCAAGCATCTTTTCTGACCACAATGGTCTAAAACTAGAAATAACAGTAGGATTTGGAACATTT